CTTGTCATTATGTTGTACCTTGCACCCTCAAAGTGTGATCTAGCCCAATGCTCAAGTCCAATCCTTATCAGGTAATCAGCACACGCGATGTCAACAACCTTGATCTCGTTGAAGTGCATGTAAAATCCTCCCTTCTGTATGCTCTAGCTGCTCTCACTATAAGGTAAAGAAGATGTCTATTTTTGAAGATTGTCTGAACATTCCTTTGTAAATGTAACAGACAAGCGCAATGCTTAGCGGTAGGATAAATCTGTTAACAACCAAACAAATTTTTAGCGTCGAAACCAGTTGCTTAACTGAAGAGAAATTACTAAATTTTTTAAATAATCTTAAACGATTGCTTCCTTTCTAAGTCCAGAGTAGATTGCAGTGTGTCTGTCAGAGACGAAGACTAGCTCCTCTGCATCAGGAACTACGGCAAGGAGCTTTTTGAAGAACCAAGACCATGATTGGTCATTCTCGCTATCCACCACCCCAAAAGCAATTGGGAAAATTTGGTAGTTGCCATCTTGTGCACTTGCTATGAGTAAACAACCTGCGAATTTTCCCTTCAAGTGTGTCCCATCAATGATGATCACCTTTCGTATAAAGGGTAACCCTTTGATGCTCGCTCCAAAAGAGAGGAAGAGGTACTTGAATCTTTGGACTGTTAATTGTCTCCAATGCAATTATAGTACCAGGATTTGCAAGAGCCAATTGTTGGAGATACGATGGCAAAGTGTTGTAAGCCTCCTCCGGATTGCCACGACCATTCTCTGTAGCCTTCTCCCGTGACCTCCAAGCAGTCCAGTAGGATATCGAGACATTGTGTTCTGTCCTCATCATCTCCCTCAAAGCACCTGGTCTCGGCCCACTTCCTGTCCCAACATACTTGCTCCTCATCAAGCTACCGACAATTGAGGACGTCGCATGCCTCCTAAACTGCCCTCTCTCGTCAACCGTGCAACAGTGATGAGGTTCCAATGTCTTGATTTCGAACCTGTTGGACCCAAATATCTTACCAGCATACACACGCCATCCACAGTTAACCCCACTACATTCGAGCACCACTTTACTTGGCTCAGACCTCCTAACAAAGTAGTTGTACTTTGTAGCCAGCACATGGAGGGACATGTGGACCTTGAACGCCTTTCTGTCTACAAATACTTGCCCCACGTAGAGATGTCCATTGTTCCCCATGCTCTCCCCTATTCATGATAACATTTGGTTTTAGCTGTTATAAATTTTTAGTGTCTCTTAACATATATTTTGTTTCGTTAACAGCTAACAAGTTTATTACTCCATAACTACAGACTTACCCAGATATTTACATTCCTCACCATCACTGTCTCCCACCATGTTAGCTTCTAACTCTAGGTCTCCTCCATCTGACCCACTGCCCATCTCGATGTTTGGCATCTTAACACGATCTCTGTTGTCAGCAATGTCTATCCCCTTCCCTTTGTCAGATGTGCCAATCCTTTGACCATCAATAGCACTACTATCACCTAACCAAAACAATCAGAGTATAATAACAGTTAGTTAGTCATTGTTTCTCTAAATTTTAATCTTCTTTTATTCACAAAATCGGAAGCTCTGCAAACCTACCAAGGACCAACGCCAAGTTCGCATCCTTCTCGGATGGTGATGATACTTCTGCCAGCCTAACTATCCCATCACCATCTCCTGTTATTACTACCATCGTCTGACGTATCTGTCTCGAATCTGATGTCATCAAACTCATAGATTGGTTTGTTGACTTCATCCCTTGTTAGTCTTATAGCGTTCCTCTTTATTTCGTGCATCTGTTCCTCACTGCATATTGCCAACAACTAAACCGAAATGGATCTACAAATATATATCCTAGTCGTTAAATTCCTACTTAATATATAGTATGTAACGCTCTTAACGCCTTTTCTAATCTTCTTAACTGATAAGTCTTGTTTTATTAGCTATCAATGCAGTTATCACTGTGTTTTTACTTGATACGATTCTTATTATCCGTTAACAATTTGTATACTATGGTTACAATTTATCAGTACTGTTAAGAACATTTTTAGTTTATGACTTTACTAGTTCCCATGTAATTTTAGCAGTTAGCCACGCCTATGTAACCCCCTAGCTCGTTAACATTTCAACTTAGCAGTTACATAACAAATTGGGTGATAATTATTTTGCGTATCGTACCTCTCCACGGAATTGGTTTTGGTGGGATCACCTCTGTACCGTCCTCCGATAACCCGTACTCTGCCCTCCGCATCATTTTGTAGCGGCCAACTTCCTCATTACCAAATGTCATGCACATTGCCAGGTTCACAAAGTCCATCCTCACCACCATGAAGAGCTCCACATCGTCGTCTTCGACAATCTCGACCGGTGGATTAGTGTAGTCTCCAGGGATTTTCATCCAGTCTGGGAAGTCATACGTCAAAGCAAGAGCTTCAGAAGGAAGTACACAAAACTTACCCCTCACCATCTCCACCACCGAGTTGTAGGTTTCATTCTCTCTGAGCACAACATCGTATTTCACGTGTGTATGGTCAATGTCGAATCTCCATGTCCTCTCTCCAAGTCTTGCCCAATCACCGATCAGAAGTCTCACAAGATGTCCCATGATATCCAACCTGAAAAACAAATCCACACAATCGAAACTCAGTTTTTGTTTCCCGTATCATCACAAAAAATTTACACTTTTTATTTGAAAAATATCTACTTATCTATAAATCTCTTACCTTATCTCTAAGAGAGAACGAACACTGTCAACTGAGTTTTTAACTTCTTAACTCTTAATCACAGTTTTCGTTTTCAATTACTATTTGAGAGATCCCTCTGCTAAGTATATATATAACCATTTATAATACCTAGTATCAAGCCCACAAACCAATACAGTGTCAGAGGAACTATTACTGGGGAAAATATCACCAAAAAACGAGGACGGAACAGTTTTTAATCCATCGGATCTTCGGCTCCGGCGCCCACTTGTGTCAATCACGCCTACTGCCCAGGCAACCACCAAATCTCCTCAGCTTTTCGCTCTGACACACGTCTCTCTGCTACGCCGATTTTTAGGATTCTGGTTAGTGAGAAAGGAGGGGTAAAATCGTCCTCACCAGCCCAAATAGACGAAAATCGCCTTCCTCAACCAAAAGGCATATCGTCAATATGGACCTTTTATGGGTATATCCCGCCCAATCTCTCTTGATGAAATAATTCGTTAGAACCTGTCTCCAGTGTAAAATATTGGAGAAATGTTTGTCCCACATTTCTTGCTGTCCTGTGGTCTCAGTCTGTTTTCTAGATTAAGCTAGGTAACTAAATCGAATTTTGAAAAGATTTGCCTTTACTTTTAAAACCCAATATTTAATTTTTTCATTTTCTCATTTTCTCATTTGTGTTTACTTATTTGTAATTGTAATGGCAAATCCATGAATACATACTTCCTTTGTGGGTAACGATGTCTGTCAAACAGTAAAAATACTCTTTTCTCAACCTCGAAATAAAACTACTCAAAAACTATACTACTTATCAACGCTCTCCTGAAAAAAACATCTGACTGAAGTATAAAAGAATTTTTAAAACTTAGTGCAAGTTCGAAAAAGTTCAAAGTATCTAAGCAAGTTATAAAATAAAATTTCCTTTTAACTCATTATATCTCCGATTATTTGTTAGTTCGAAAAAGTATCAGTTCATAACATTATGACAAATAAGTCCTAAATTCAATCAGGTGTGTTTTATGATTTAGTCTTTGTGACTGACTATATAAGTATTCATGTTGGGCATAGAGAATATGATGATTCTAATGCAGTTAATTTAAAGTTTCAGGACAGTCTTTCACATATTTAGGGAGACAATTCGTTAACATCAATTTTAGACGTTTAGTCATATCAATTTTAGACGTTTAGTCATATGCTTGTACAGATATAATGAAAAAGAACGGGTAAACAAGGCCTCAGAGATCTTGGTGGTTAAAAATCATCAAGTGAATTTCTTCATCAAGAGTAGCAAATATTTTGATTGCATCACTGGCCATTCCCAAAAGATTTTAATAATAACATAATATAAAAAAATCTTTAAAATTTGCAGAAACAAAGAAAATTGATAGATTGATGATGGTGAGTCAAAAGTAGCTGGTAAATAATCACATTTTTTATTCATTGGGAATCCGAATGATTTTTTTCATCATTCTCACCATCATCCATCAATTAACGTATTTGCAAAAACATATTTGCAAAAAATCGAAGCGATTGAAAGATCTATCTTCGAAGATCTATTAAAAAAAAAAGAAATTATAAAGGCACGTAAGCTTAACAGAGACAAACAAATCATACTTATGACTAACTAAAAATCAATTCAAAAGAATTTGAAGGTCAAATAATTGCAAAAAACACTTTTTCAAAAACGATAAAAGCATGAAGTTGAAGAAAAAGAAAAGAGAAGAAAATCTTCGAAATTTTTGAAAACATGAGCCGTAGAAGAAGATTTTGATTGGATATTAGAGAAGAGAGAAGATGAGGACTATATATATGAGGTGATGAAGAGATTAACCTTCCAAAACCCTAATTCATAAGCCGACGTTGGCCGTAAAATAATTGGGCTTTTACGTTGTACGTATTGATCATAAGCCCAGATGTTCAAAAAGAAAAAGATCATAAGCCCATAATGATAAGTAATTAATGGCTTGTTATAGAATTCCATGTCCATTCTTTGCCAAAATTAGTAATTGATCCAAAAAATTATATATGCCTCATACAGGTTTCGAACCTGTGACCTTCGCGTTATTAGCACGACGCTCTAACCAACTGAGCTAATGGGGCAACTTGTTAACTTAACCAATTTTTATTAGTGAAACTATGCCCATGCTAGCTGCAGCCAAAAATCATCGTCATATGTAGAGCTGAAACTGCGTCGTTTTGCGAAATATGACAAACATCTTCATCTCTCTCCCCCAGACACTACACTTGATTTGTTTGTAGTTTTTCCCGTGGGTTCCGTTACTTTCTCCGGCTCGGATCTGGAAGAAGATGAGAGTAGTAGTATCGTCTCTCTGGTTTCAACTATCCTTCCTTCTTCTCCTTGCTTCTGCTATTAGATCCACGACCTCGTCTCCCCTGACCGATCCCTTTCTCGGCATTTCTCCTCTAGGTTTGGTTTGGTTTGGTTTGGTTTCCCCTCTCCTCATTTAAGATCCGTTTTTTTTGAATTAGATTGGTTTCGTTTGCTGTGTAGATGAGAAGTATTACAAATCATCTTCTTCGGAGATTAAGTGTAAGGACGGATCAAAGAGATTCACCAGAGCTCAACTCAATGACGATTTCTGCGATTGCGCAGACGGTACTGACGAGCCAGGTTCGTGTCTGTTGATCAAAAACTTTGGAGCTTTATCTTCGTTACGATTGTGATCAGACTATTAAACCAGTTCAGTTTTACTGGGAATTCTGATTGCTTGAAGTTACTAATTTTGAGTTTGTGGATTGTATATTTGATAGATTCGTTTGTTAAAACTACAGGTACCTCGGCTTGTCCTAATGGCAAGTTCTATTGTCGGAACGCAGGCCATTCTCCTTTAGTTTTGTTTTCTTCCAGAGTCAATGATGGTATCTGCGGTATGTATGTTACTCAATTTGTACCTGCTTATGTGCTTTTTAATACTACACGGCGGGGAAAAGCTTTATTTATTTATGGATCTAATGGTTTGTTTTGCCTTGGGAGCAGATTGTTGTGATGGAAGTGATGAGTATGATGGTAAAGTGACGTGCTCAAATACTTGCTGGGAAGCTGGGAAAGTTGCTCGAGAGAATCTTAAGAAGAAAATCGAAACGTATAATCAAGGGGTTGTTATAAGGAGGAAGGAGATCGAACAGGCGAAAGTGGGTTTGGAGAAAGATGAAGCTGAACTAAAGAAGCTAAAGAGCGAGGAGAAAATTTTGAAAGGCCTTGTGCAACAGCTGAAAGGTTTGCTCTTTTCTCTCTTTTGTTGCAAATGGCATGAGAGTTGGTATTTTTTTGTTTTGTTCTTAGAGAAAATTTAATTGGAGATATAGTAGTATCATGAGATAATCAGTGTATTGGAATGTGAGAGCAGAACCTTGGATATAAGTGTAGTTAGGTGCCTAATATGCCTATGGGTCAGATCTTAAAAACCTGCACTAGCCACCAACAAGGCAGCGAGAAAGTGAGAGAATATATGATTTATTTTCATTATAACCGGCAATGATGACTTCAGATGATAAAGACAGAATGTTACATTTAACACTGTTGGTCCAATCAATAAAGACCTTGAGATTTCCCTCGAATACTTCTTTTGTAGAGCGTAAAGAACAAATTGAGAAGATAGAGGAGAAGGAGCGTCTAGAGAAAGAAAAGGAGGAGAAGGAAAGAAAAGAGGCTGAAGAAGCAGCCCAGTCGGGAAAGGAAAACGGTGAGGAGAAGACAGATGACAATGGAAAAGTTGAAGGAAGCACAGACGTTGAAGAGATGCCTGGAGTTTCACAGGACGGCGATATTCTCGATGAAATCGAACATTATGATGAGACTGGTAAATACAAGGACGTTCTTACAGATGAGGTTAGTTCTTCTCTTGTAAACTGAAATAGATTTGCAAGCTTTCATTTTTGTATTGCTTATTCGAACCATTAAACAAAGGCTTATCAGACTATTCGCCAATATTCTGGCCTCCGTTGAATCTCCTGCTCGTTCATGAGGTCATGAAATAAGATATGCAAGTTTCTAGAAACGTGAGATGCTTGAAACTATCTTCTACTCAATGACATTAGGCTATCTGGAAGACTGGCACTCATTCACTTGCCTATTTGTCAATACCTTCAGCATTTTTTTATATTTTGTTGAGTTCTCTTGATTTGATTTAAGCTCAAAATTGTTGTGTTTTCAGGAACCAGCAGCTGAAGCTGAACCAACAAGTGTATTGGAAGAGGGAAGTCACACTAAACCAGCAGACCAGGTTTGGAAAATGATTCATTCATATACTCTTTCGGTCTTTCCAGAAGTGGAGCGATTTGTTACTTGAAGTTAGATGATGATATAAGGTTGTGTACAATGCAGCATGTTGTGGAGACGAAGGAGGAATTTCCCTCATCTGAGGATCTCATCACAGATGGTTCCCAACATGATGGTAGTACCAAAAAGGAGGAATCAGAGAAAGTGGTAATTTAATTTCAATTTCTGGTCAAATGCTTACAAGATATTGTCATAAATCGGAGTCTGACCTTTTGAGACTTATCTATTGCATTTTCTTCTATGAATCTTCCCGTTTTAACTTTATCATGACGTTCTGTATATAGGAGGATATGGTATCGGAGAAGAAGGAAGAGTTGTCAAAGGAGGAATTGGGGCGTCTTGTTGCCTCTCGTTGGACAGGAGAGACTTCTGAAAAGCCATCAGAGGCAGACGAGAGCCCGAAAGCTGATGACCATGAAAACCATGAGCATACGCCCACTAGTCCACATGAAGTAGAAGAAGATGATGGATTTGTGTCAGATGGTGACGAGGAAACAGTCGACGATGGAAAATACAGCGACCATGAACCCGAAGATGATTCCTATGAAGAGGAGTATCGCCATGATTCTACTTCTTCCTACAAATCTGATGCAGAGGATGATCTCGATTTATCAGGTTTGCACTATTGCCACAGATGTTTGTATTCTTTAAAGATGCTAATCATCTATCATAGTAAGTATGACATGATTATATGTTATTACGTATAGAGACAACCTCAAGTCCTACTTGGTTGGAGAAGATACAAAATACTGTCAAGAACATTTTACAGGCTGTTAATTTATTCCAAACTACCCCAGTAGACAAGTCAGGTAACTAATAGTACAGCACTTCCAAACAGTAAAAGCAAGACTTGTATTTCTTCAGTGATTCATTTCTTGCGTTGTGGTTTATGCAGAGGCTGATCGCGTACGCAAGGAATACGATGAGTCGAACTCAAAGCTTAAGAAAATACAGTCAAGGGTATCGAGCTTAGAAAGGAAGCTAAAACAAGATTTTGGTCTGTATGATTAAAACATCCTAAGCCTTTACTTTTTTGCCTTTCTTTGAGTTAGTCGTTAATATATTTTTTTATTACAGGACCGGAGAAAGAGTTCTATTCATTCCACGGTCGTTGTTTTGAGAGCAAACAGGGCAAGTAAGGAAAATTTCACCAATCCTTTGTCTACTTCCTTTCTTTATTAGCATTTTTTAGGGTTTACAGTTATGTTTATCTTATGTTGTACTACCTAATGTCTAGGTATACTTACAAAGTTTGCGCATATAAAGAAGCAACACAAGAAGAGGGCTATTCGAAAACTCAGCTAGGGTAAGTGTCACTGGCACTTTTTCGATTCCGCACATACTGATATCTAGCATGGTACATATATTAAATCTAGTGTAACGAGGAATCAGTTCGGAGTTGCAATCAGATATCAGTAACTATCTATCTCTGTGTTTGTATTTAACATTTTACGTGCTCTTCTTTGGCTTAATGTGGTCTTTTAGGGGATGGGATAAGTTTGAGAACTCGTACCAGTTCATGACATATACAAACGGAGATAAGTGTTGGAACGGTCCCGATAGAAGCCTAAAGGTAAATGCATAACATAGACAACTAGCTGAGAATTGAATTTTAGGCTTGCAAAGATCACGAAGACATGAAATATAAAAAGCTAGACTAATTCTTGATATGCAGATCAAGCTAAGATGTGGGTTGAAAAATGAGCTCATGGATGTGGATGAACCAAGTCGTTGCGAGTAAGTTCTTGTCCTGGTGTTTACTTATTACGGGTCATATCGTTTTATCTCTTCTTTTTCATTTCTAACTCTCTTGTTGCAGATATGCGGCAGTATTATCTACTCCAGCTCGGTGTCTGGAAGACAAACTTAAAGTAAGCTGATGTGCATCTCAAATATTAAATCCCGATGTTTTAACTTAGTTACTTCTCTTACTCGTTAACACTATCTAAACCGGATGTTTGGCATTTTTATAGGAACTACAAGAAAAGCTCGAGAAGCTGATGAACCAAGACCAACCTCAGAAGCACGACGAACTCTGATTGTGTTTCTTAGATTTGTGTCAATTAGACTACTAATCTTGCTCAATCTCAAAACGTCAAGAGGACAAATAGTAAAGTATAAACAGAGACGTTTCTTTTGGCTCAGGAAGAAAATGATAGGCTCAAGTTTGCCTCATTGAACAATGGAGGTTCTATTTATCAACACTCAACAGTACTTTAGACAATGTTCAACTTTTGGTTAAGAGAAAAGAACAGTTCATGACATGTTATAAATCCGAAATTCGTTAGTAATGTGAAGGCATCTCACGCCTACCATTTCAAAGTTCACTTTTAAGATGAGAAAGTGGTTTTTGTTAGGTCATAAACAAGTGGTAAGTTTGGTTCGGTTTTGTCTTTCTGCATACCATTTTATAATTTCTGAAACTTTATCTTAAAGGAATCCCATTTCCAAAAGAGACAAACTCGAACATGGTATTTCATTAAAGGAATCAAATTATTGCATTGCATACTAGCAGATATATATCTGTTTAAAAAAAAAGTTATGATACCAAAACATGAACTTATTAATCATGTAAATAGCATGTGTAAATAACAGTTGGTAAGTTAACTTAAATTTTGAGAAAAGTATAATTGAGAAATATCAATCTAAGATATTTATTTATTTTTCAGAGAAACGTGGCCCGACAAAGGATCGAGAAGGCAGAAAAAGGTCAAGGAAACGAATATTTGTTGTCAATGTGCGTCACCCCTAAACGGAATATTAAACCGGTGGTTAGCAAATAATATCAACGTATCATTACGTATCTGTCTTCTGTTGACCCAATCCTAAACCGGCTAACAGAAATCAATTTTTGTTGACCCAATCTAAACCAGAGACCTTCTATAAGAGAAAGAGAGGACTCAAGACTCGCTTAATATTCCCCTCAGATTCTCTCTCTATATATTTTCCTTGTTCGACAAGCCAGATCTCACTCTCCATAAATCTCTCTCCTCATCAGCGATCCTTACTTGTATCCCCTTTGAAACCGCTTTTGCTCTCTCTCTGTGTTAACGATGGCGATGATAGAGCAAAAGCCGAAGACGAAGATCGTGTGTACCCTCGGCCCTGCTTCCAGATCCGTGGAGATGGTGGAGAAGCTTCTGAAGGCGGGTATGAACGTGGCTAGGTTTAACTTTTCACACGGATCTCATGAATACCACCAAGAGACTCTCGATAACCTCCGTCAAGCTATGCTCAACACTGGTATTCTCTGCGCCGTCATGCTCGATACCAAGGTTTGTTAGAGAAATAAATCGATCACTTGTTGTATCTGTGTGATCTTGAATTAGTTTGTGAGATTCATGTTCTGTGTGACACGTGTATGTTTTATTGTTCGTGTTAAATGCCTCTTTTGTACTTATTTGGTAACTGTTTACTGTTTTGTCTGTTTATGCCGTTTCTGTTGTGGATCTAAGATCTGTGAGACAGTGAGTTATGTGATGAAGTAAAGGTTGCCAGTTAGAACACCAAATCTGCTGTTAAAAAATAAAATAAAAGGTTGTTGTAGAGACCAGATGTAGAAATTGCTAGTAACAGCAG